ACACACCTTAATGTCCTTCAGGTGAGGTAGCTCTTTCTTTCTGGTCTTCCTGACTACCCACACAGTGTAGGGGATGTTCAATGCTTGTAGAAGTGACCCCCCAGTCCAGCTACAGACCTATCTGAAGTGAAAAAAATCTTTGGACATTTCAATCTTTAAATCCTGGAGTCTAGGATTTAGGACCTTACTCCAGGCAAACCTGAGAATTATTTCATCCAGTTGCTATCACCACCAACCCAGGACTTGGGAGATGGGAGTATCCTTTTCTCATGTTTCCCAATCTTGTGCTTTTTCTCTTTAAACACCCTTTGTTGATCGTTTTAAAAAGCTTACTTTTTTGTAAATAGCATTCTCAAACATTTATTTATGAAAATATCAATATTTTATATGTGTATAGTTTTTCATATTTTTAACTGATGAAAGGTATACACAGCAGTTCCTGTAAGTACTCCAGGAACTCAAAGGGGTGGCTGGCTGTGTCAACTCCTAATCCAGACTAGATGGTGTCAGTTCATCTTGTGTTTTTTTTTCAGTATAAGCAGTTGTTTTTCACATTCTATTACCTCTGATCCAATAATTATAAATATTTTTAAAAGACCCAAAAGATTGTTATGTGTCTATCTTAAATTCCTTATTGCATCTCATCATATTCTTTGTTACAGGCATTGCCTCACCTGATGTCCCTACAGGTTGGTTACATGAGAGTAGAGCCCATGTCTGTTTATATCCCTAGAATCTAGCTCAGAGTTTGGCATACAGGTGCTCAAAATTTTTTTAATTAAAAGCAAAATGGATGAACAAATGGATGAATGAATTAATGATGATCGACTGACTGATTAACAACTAACAACTAACTACGCAACTACCTACCTACCTACCTACTTCCTAAATACAAAGGGCTAAAAACTAGTGTCTTGGATCTTACTCTTGCTCTTTGTGATTGTCAGAAATCTATGATGGCCCATGACATACATCCTTGTACAATTCCCTCCCCTTGAGTGAGGAAGAGATCACAAAATGATAGGAGATCACTTTGATGATTATTTTATTGGTTTAAAAAATAGATTATCTTTAGTGGGCTTGACTGAGGTAGGTGATCACTAAAAAGAAAAGAACTCTTTCTGAAGGAAGAGACTGAAAGCATGAAGGTGTTTTGATACAGGGAGATTATGCTGCTGGCCTTGGAGGACTCTATTGCTGCCAAGTCATGCAAGCTTCAGATGAGTGAGAAGACCATTGGCAAGAATCTCAAGAAGCTGAGTGGCCTCAGGCTGGCAGCAAAAAAAAGGAGACCTCAGTCTTATACTTGCAAATAACTGAATTCTGCCAGTAACCTGAATAAGCTTGAAATCAGATTATTTCTCAGAGAAAAATGAAACCATTTTGATTCAAAATGATAGCTTTGCTGGGTAATCTTGGTTGTAGGTCTTTGCTTTTCATCATTTTGAATATTTCTTGCCAATCCTTTCTGGCCTGTAAAGTTTGTGTTGAGAAATCAGTTGACAGTCTTATGGGAGTTCCCTAGTATGTAACTAACTGCTTTTTTCTTGCTGTTTTTAAGATTCTCTCTTTGTAACCTTTTGCATTTAAAGTATGATGTGTCTTGTGGGTCTCATTGGGTGCATCTTGTTTGAGACTTTATGCTTCCTGGGCTTGTATGTCTCTTTCCTTCACCAGATTAGGGAAGTTTTCTGTCATTATTTCTTCAAATAGGACTTCAATTTCTTGCTCTTTCTCTTCTGCTTCTGGTAGCTCTATGATGTGATTATTGGTACACTTAATGTTGTCCCAGAAGTCTCTTAAACAATCCTCATTCTTATAGATTTTTTCATTTTTGTTGTTTTGATTTGATGTTTTTTGCTACTATATGTTCCAAATTGCTGATTCAGTCTTCTGCTTCATCCAGTCCACAGGTGGCAAACACAAGCCCTGCCCCTTCACCTTGTTTTATCTGGCCCAGGACCTTGTTTCTACCCAGTGGCAGCACCAGGCTCTCATTTAACTGTTAAGGACTAGTTACATTTACACAGTCCTACAATTACATTTGGCCCTTTGAAGGCTACCTGAAGGCTGATGTGGCCCCCAGTGAAAATGAGTTTGACACCCCTGAGGCCACCTTTTCTGTTATTGTATTCTTTATTTCTGACTGGTTATTTTTTATGTTTTTACTTCTGTTTTTGTTTTCTATCTCTGTTGAAGAGCTCACTGAGATAATTGAACACAGTTATAACCAATGTTTTGAACTCTACATTTGGTAGATTTCTTATCTCTATTTTGTTTAGTTTGTTTCTTCATTGGGGACATGTTTCTTTGTTTCTTCATTTGGCTGCCTTCCTGTGCTTGTTTCTATATATTAAGTAGAACTGTGTTGGTATTGTGTCCTAATATAGTAGGTGTCCTGTAGGGTCCAGTGGCATAGTCTCCCCTATCAACCAAGCTGAGTACTTGGATGCGCTATTTGGGTAGGCTGAGTACATTTTCCTCTTGTAGTTGAAACTTGATTGCTGTTGGCAGGTCAATGGGAGGGATTTAACCAGGCCAGTCAGCTTCAAGGCCTGGTTGTGGCCACTGACCAACAACCTCTGCCCTTCATGGAGGGCTGTGCAGCGGCAGGGTGGTGTTACTCTGACATGGTCTGTAGCTGTCCACTGGGTGTGCAGGCTCTGGGGATTCCTGGGTGGTGCAGGCCAAGGTCAGCCACCACCTGTGTTTTGCCTGGGGCCACCCTGCCCAAGCTATAGAGCAATCTGAGATGGCTGCTTCTTGTGTTGGGATTAGAGATTCCAAGGTGAAGCCAAAATGTAAGTTTAGGCTGGCTGCTACTAGTACAGGGTCTGGGACACTTAGGAAGTGGTATGGGGGCTAGGGGCTCACTGAGGCTGGCTGTTGTTTGTTTGACAGGATTTAGAAAGTTGTGAAACATAAGCCAAGATCAGCCATTCATGTGGAAAAGCCACTGTTAACAGCTGTAGGATGAGTGGGCTGGAGCTTCAGTGCATCTCCAGGGTGGGGCAAACAGTCCCATGTTAATGGAGTCTCAGGTATGGTGCCTGCCTGTTGACTTTATGGCTCTTCCCACCTTTTTGTCTGGGAGAAAGCTGTGCCCTAGCTTCTGTCTTGATGCCATATACTTCAGTTCCTCCTTGTATGCTACTGGTGCCTTTCAAGCTGCTACCTCAGTACTGGAGCTCAGTGGGTGTGTGTCTGAGTAAATCCATGTGTGGGTTCTTTCAAAGGAACTGCTTGGTACTTGAAAAGTTTCTTCCTCTGACTCAATCCTTGGTGGTTTTTACACCCAGATGTGATGGGGACTTATCTTTTGACACTGGTACCCTGGGCTGGGGAGTTTGGTGTGGGGCTGGGGTTCCTTGCTCCTGATATATCTGTTCCAAATTTTTATCCACCACATGTAGATGTTGGGCTAACCCATTCTGTGTCTCTGCCTCTGCTACCAGGCTGGATAGATGAGGTTTTTTTAATTCCATAGTTGTCAGACTTCCATTCAACTCAATTTTTGCTGGTTCTGAGTGATAAATGTTGTATAATTTAGTTGTAATTTTGATGTGGTTGTGTGAGGAGGCAAGCCATGTTTATGCCACCTACTTGACTGGAAGTTGCCAATAAAGATTTTTAAGTCTCTGTTCACCTCCCTAGCACTGCTTGCCAATTTGATGCTATCACTCTACTCCAGACAGACTGAAATACCTTGAGATTCCTGATGACATGATGCTGTCTCTTGCTTCACTTAGTCTGCACTTCATGTCTCAGTTTAACCTTTGATTTGTTAGCAAGGCTTTTACTAGTGCCCTAAGGCTGGGGAGGTCACTATTTTCTTGGTTCCCAAGAAATCTTGTTCTTACTACTCTTGTAGTCCTTAGCCACCTAAATTTTTCTCTGAAGAGAATTAAAAAAGCAGAGGTTTTAAAGGCAAAAAGCACAAGTGAAGTTCCTATTTTGCTCTTCCATGCAAATGAAGGATTGCTGGGTAGATTAACAAGGATTGCTTAGTTCAAACATACGGACAAAGGATGAGAAATCTGCAAGGACCAGGCCAAGTCCCTATGTGTCCACCAAGCAGCTGTTCTAGCATGTTTGTGGCTCAGCCTTGAGCTGAGTTTAGCAATAGTTTTAGCAACTTAATAGCAGCTCTGAAAACTGAGGCACAACATGCGCATAAGCCCCACTTCCTCAAAAGCCTCCCAAACCTATTTTAAGTGACTGTCTTGGAAATACTATTTTATTTTATTTATCATTTTTAATTTTATATTATATTTTTATTTATTTTGTTTTATTTTTATTTATTTTATCCATCATCATTACTATAATGGTCTGTGTACCTGACTATCTCCCTGAGTATACAGCGTGGTCCCTGGAGGCAGTGTTTTGATCTTATTCAGCATTATCCTTCCCAAGTGTCTAAGCCAATGTTGAATAAACAAATGTATAAATGGCGGGGGGTGAGGTAGGGGGGAGTAGTGCAGTGCCTTCTGAATAAATTCAGAAAAACCTGAATCTTCATCTGTTTGTTCCAGTGCAAAAAGACTTGATTTTGAATACCAGACAACTTCATCACTCCGTTAGCTGAGTGGCTTTTGGCAATGTCACTTAATACTCTTGTTTCATTTCTATATTTTAAGAAGGAGGGATACTAATAGTGTTTAATGAGTAAGATTGTTTTGAGGAGAAACTAGAAAAATGCATGTAATTGCGTGGTGCTTAGTTGCATGGTGCTAAGTACATGGTTAAATGCCTAAAAATGGTAAGCTATTAGTTTTATTGTACATTTTTATTAATAATTAACATTTCATACATGCTTACATGTGGGCTACAGAGGGAATCAAAAATCATTTTCATGTGCTCAGCAGGAATCTTATTTTTTTTTCGGTTTTGTTTTCTCTGCCTCTTTCTGGTAAGGAAAAAGAAACTTATGGCTCTTGGCATGCTGCCAGCTGATCATTTGCTGCTTTGAGTTTCAGTTTCCTTCCTTTCAAACAGGAAGGCACTGGGTCTCAGCAGAACCTTCTGTCTCCAGTGTGACTTCTACATAAGCCAGAGAGAGCAGCTGATCGTCCATTTACATCTAATTCTTAAAAACAGGTAAGTGACTTCCTGCCATCCAATGATTTCTAGCCATGTTTGAAGAAAATGGCCTGTTTTTCTTACTTTGAAAAAAGTTTTTCAGAATGAAATTTCTGCTAATGATTATACTTTTATCTTTCATGTTATGCTTTTTAAATACAATTTATAAACATAAAGAATTAGTTACCTCTAGTATAATCTCTATTTTGTCTCATTGCTTCAATTAGATGTATTTTCTTCTAATTCTTCCTTCAAGTGTGTATAACTTGCTGTTAAATTTATCCTTCAATTTTTTAAATTTCAGATTTATAGATTTTTAAGTCCAGAATTTCTTTTTGCCTTTTTAATTTTTTTCCATTTTGCTGTCAACCATAAAATCTTACCTTTTAATTTGAACAAACCAAACATGGTTATTTAAAGCTCCATGCAGATAACTCCAGTATGTATTTGGGTTTGTTATTCTGTTTTTTTCCTTTCTGTTTTATATCGTACTGTTTTGTTTGCTGGCCTGTGTGTATGATCAGTGTGAGGCACTGCATATTTAAAATAAAAAGATTATAGAGATAATTTGAAGCTAAAAGTGTTTTCTTTGTTTAGGCAAGATTTATGTTGTATGCATTATGCAGCTAGATGCATTAGCAGTTTTCATTGATCTTAACCACGTCATAGATTGAGATTACTAGAAGAAGGATTAAGTCTACTTGCAGGCCACCCCACCTCACTCCTTTCTGGTGCCTCTTCAGAATCATAACACATAGCCTGAGAGGAGAGTTGCCAAGGGTCTTTCTTGTTGTGCCCTATTTCCTTAGTTCTATGAGTCTAGCAAATACTTTGGTTAATTTCTCAGCATCTCAGGTACCTCTTCTAAAGTTTACAGATGCACCTCAGGGAAGCGTACTCCCATATGCCAATGTTACCTCTCTGTATTCACTTTTTTCCCAAATCTTAGCCAATAAAATAATTCAGAACTGTTTTGTTAGCTCTGCAATGCTTTCAAATCTATGTATTTTATAGTTTATCCTGAATTTTCAATTTTTCTCATTGAAAGAATTGGCATATGGCTAATGCTCCATTCTGCCATCTCAGGCCCTTCTTATCAGTTAACACTTTTCATAGTTTAGTTTCTTTCTTTGTGAGTTCTTTTCTGTATAAATTCCTCATTTTTATGTTCTAATTTATGGTCTGGCAAACTATGGCCTGTGTGCCAGCCACCTGTTTTTGTAAAGAAAGTTTTATTGGAACACAGTCATGCCTGTTTGTTTACATATTGTCTGTGGCTACTTTTGCATTACACCGGCATAGTTGAGCAACTGTGGCACAGACCTTATAACTACACAGCCTAAAATATTTAGTACTTAGCACTAAGAAAAAGTCTGCTGATCTCTATTCTAATTGATTAATTTTTCCTTATTCTTTTATCCAGTATGCATTTCATTTTGTCTACTGATTTAAAACTTTAATTATATTTTTATTTTTAAATTATCTATTTTTAATACATACCTATTATTGTTTCATTCTATTGCCTTATAGTTCAAATAACATATTTTAATTAAGTCAGAGAAAAAAATAACTACTGGAACTAGAAGCAGATATTTGTACTCTAAATCACTACACTATACTTTTCTGTTAACCTATTATTGTTTTCCCATTAGATTCAGAATAATGGGAGTGACAACCAGATTGACATGGAATGAGGAAAAAAGTCTGCAAAAGCTGCTTGGAAGTGTTTCCTTGAGTCTTCTTTATAAATCCAGTGTCCATGGATATTCCCTTAGTGAGATGTTTGCTAGGTGCAGTCATCAGGGGTCCACTATAACAGTGATTTACCTTCCTAAAGAAATTGTTGGGGTCTTTATCCATGGGCACTATCCTACAATGAGTGTAAATTTTGGAAAACCAGACTCTTCCTTCTATTTTTCATTAAAAAATGATGAAACTGAAATAAAAACTGCATTTTTAAATACAACACTACAAATGGATCATAAAATACTGAGGGCTTATCACCCTAATTTTAAGAACATTTTCTCCTTAATTCCAAGTGATTCCTTAGTTTCTCTACATCCATTGTTAGTAAATGGATTAGGAGTAAATTTCAAGGCCTCAAAATATTTGGAATGTGAAGTTTTTCGAGTTGAAGGTATGTTAAATTAGATAACCTTATATATTTGGGAGACTGGAAAGTACAGGCAGCTTTGAGCTAAGTAAACTGAGAAGTGTAAGTGGAGAGATGGAGATGGAGAGGTGGGGGGTGAGGAGAGAGAGAGAAGGACCAAGAGACCTTACTATCAGAGCAGGCCTATTTTGACACATGATCCCTTTTTTTTCTGGTCAGTCCTAAAACTTCTAGGCATAGTCATGTGAGTTTTCAGAATGAGTTAATGTGTTGAGAAGATAATTTTTCTTCTCTTCATTCTCTTGCCAACCCTAACTTCTAACTGAACAGCTCAGCCCTGGCTGAGACAAGCACACTTAATGCCCTATTTGAAAGGTAAAATTAGCCATATTTAATTAGACTTTTATAAGGGAACTAAGAAGTTTAAAAATTATGATGCTATGTTTATTTCCTGTAGGAATTGAGGATGGTAACGGCTACATAAGCAGGATAACAGGAGCCGCACAGTAAGTTAGGTTCTTGCATTGTGTACATCTCATTTCATTTAGACCAATTGTATAAATGGCACTGACAATGAAAGAGAAAGATAAAAGCCACTTGGAGTGATAAAAAATGAATAATACTGTTCCTGACATAATATGTTCAAGGCAGTTTAGCACAATAGCAAAAGCAAAAACATGACCAACTCTGAAACTTTCAAAATCCACTTGATGACAATTTAATATCAGGTTTACTTTGGACTTGTTATATTGAAAATTTTCCAGACAGAATCTAGATGACTATTTTAGATAATACCTTTGAATCTTTTCCTTAAGGATAAAGATTTTTGAGATCTTCAGTAAATTTTAAAATTAAAGCCCCTTCTCCCCAATTTGTAGGTAAATATCTGCATTACATATATTTGATTTTGATTTCTTCTTAATACAATATATTTACTGAAAATAATAATTCATTTTCATTGTTGTTGATATTTTTTATTAGATTTATGCTGTCTAAGACTAATAGATCGATAATGATTTGGTTGGTCCTTAATGTATTTTAGTCCCATGTAGAAAAATGCATTTTCTTCAAGCACAAAACACAAAACCTAGACCATTCGCATCATATGATAGAAGTTAACATAAAAATAATAATTAAGTATTTAAGATATACCTTTAAAATGGGAGTAAAAATCTCCTGAAGAATTACACTGTTCTTTATGGAAGTTTTGCTGTTGTTATCTAACTACTGTATTTTAATAGGCATAGACATAAGCTCCTAGCAAACCTCAGAGCCTACAAACCCTCTGAAGATTTGGTTTCAGAAATTCGTATTCTTTTGCTGGGTCCAGTTGGGTCTGGAAAGTCCAGTTTTTTCAATTCAGTGAAGTCTGTTTTCCAAGGCCATGTGACTCACCAAGCCGCTGTGGGGTTCGATAGCACCAGCATTACTGAACTGGTAAGTTTTTTTCAGAATTTCCTGGGGATTTTTATAAATTACAATGACTAGTTTTATTTTTTGCCACTTTCTCTCAGAAGAGTAACTTCCTCTTAATCTACAAATAAATGCTATATCAAATGTAAAACAAGAGTAAAAGGTGCATATGAAAATTGCCTACATGACAGGTATATTATATGGCAAGTCTTTCCATTTTTATGGATGCAAGAATTAGTTAAATGAAGCATGATTTTGGGACTTGTAATAAATAGCCACAAAATTATAAAAATTTTGTGGAATCTTCATTCATTGTATTTAGTGTATATATTTACTCATGTGTCAAGTGGCTTTATATAGATTAAAATGATTTTTCTCTTTTTCTAAATAAAGGAATGTGAACTATATAATACCACAATTTCCCATTATATGGGACAATTCTATAAGAAATGATGAACAGCAAAACAGCAATTCACTTTTGTGTGTCAGACTTCAAAGGGTAAATTTATAAATACTCCTATAAATACTATCTTACTTATAATCAAATATATTTAAGGAAATAAAATCTAATACCATTTTAAAACAGTAACTCAAAAGATCTACAAATTATGGTGCAATATTTATCTAGAAACTTCCATTTTATGCTTCTCAAAATATCATTCAATCAAAGAAAATAAAAAGAACAAACAGAAAATTTCATAACCAAGCTATATTTATCTATAATTGCTACAACCTTATATTGTCATCTTCTGCTTTGGAATATGCTGTGTACTGTCAGTGCAAAATTTAGCATAAGACAGTAACTGCTCATTTTAGTTGTGTCATATTCAATAACTGAAAGCATTTTCTATGATTTTTTAAGAATCACATTTTGTGTTTTTATGTTGCCCATATTCTATTCACATGAGTGGCTTTATTTTGATACATCTGCATAGTAGTAACAATTCAATACGTTAAGCATTTGATTGAAATGTCTCTGTTTTCTAAATATTATGTTGGCAATAGAGACCTAAATATAAATAATACTTAGTTTCTTCATTAAGGGATCTTAGAGATCAATGTAGGTAATAAAAAGTTTCATTCAATAGATGCTTTAATAGAGGTACTCATCAGGACAGAATTTCTTTCTTTTTATGTTGTAAACTCAGAAGGCATTGCTTAAAGTTAAGATGTAGATGCTGAACTCCAAATGAAATGCAAATACTATATAAACTTTAAGAATATAGGACAGAATATTTGTAAGGAAAATAGTATTTTATTGCTCAGAGACCTGATCCTTCTTTTTGAAGAATTGAAGTTCTTAGTTGGTGTGAAGGTTGTGGGTTATTGTTAAACTGAAGAATTGAAGTTCCCAATAAAAATCAAAGGAAGAAATTAATAGTCAATGAAACTGTGAATGTGCATATTGATCTTAAAATGTAAATGTCCTTACATATGTAATTCTGATGTATTGTGTAATTCCTCGCCTGTTGAAGAACCAGTAAGTCCCATTCACTCGGATCCAAATCTCCAATGGGATCACTCCTAGGCATTTTATGGGCCAGTGGGAGCTCTTGACTTCATCAAAGTTTGCAATAGGTCATGGGGGGCTTCTAAACTTCCTGGTGTGAAATGGGAGAATTGCGATTAAAACGTCCTCTGATGTCTCTTCCAAATCATCCTTAGTTGTCTATGTTGGAAGTGTATTTGATCAATAGGTGAACATTTTTCAGAATGCTTCTGAAGAATTCTGTTGGGATCAGATTGAGTGTGTTTATTTAGGAAAGGTTTGTTAAAGTAGTGCTCCACAGAATGTGGGTTTGAGCCTTAGCTGGGGTGTGTACGAGAGGCAACCAATTGATGTTTCTCTTTCACATGGATATTGCTCACCCTCTCACCCCCACTTCCTGTCTATAATCAATGAAAGTATTCTTGGGTGAAGATTGAAAAAATTTTTAAGGAATATTTAAAACTTTGATTTTTAACCTTTATGTTAAATATTAATAAATATAACCCATATTAAATATTTGTGGGGCCCTTAATCATATTTAAGAGTTGAAAGTGATCCTGAGATCAAAACGTTTGAGGACAATAGTATTAGAATATTAACCAGTCTCTGGCCTTCTTATTGTCTTGTCTTGAATGCTAATTGAAGAATGCAATTTTATATTTGATATATATATATTCTTTACAGTATAGGATATATTCTATTAAAGATGGAAAAGATGGAGAATCTCTGCCATTTAAGTTGTGTGACTCCATGGGGCTGGATGAGAAAGAAGGAACAGGATTGTGTATGGATGACATACGCCACATCTTAAAAGGCTGCATGCCAGACAGATATCATGTAAGAATTCTAATCTCTAGAGAATTTCAAATAACTTTTATCATGCATTTTGTTGAATTTTTACTCTATAAGGCAGTTTCAACTATTATAAGATGATTTCAACATTAACTAGCACCACTGTACTTTAAATGGGTAAGTATTCATGTAAGCACAGTAACTGCTCTTCTTTTCTATACTATTAAGAAATATAGCCAGAAGGTAGGATTCCACTTCCAGGTAAAGGTTATGAAGAGATTGTGTTTATAGCATACACTTTAATCTCACACTTTTTTGATCACTTAGGCAAAACATTGGAGCAATTAACTGTTTTTTTGTTGAAGCGTGCTATTATACTAAAATATTTAGTCTTTATTACTTAAATTCTACTTGAATAAGTAGATCCAAAGGTCAGCTCTGCCACTAATGAGATGCGTGTCCATAAACTTGTCTCTGTAAGTCTGTTTTTTTCACATGTGAAACGTATTGTAGGTAATAATAATGCCCATCTCGTAGGGTGTCTGAAAAGATAAAAGAGATGATGTACTCTTAATTCTCAAAAATTAACTATCACTATTATCTTTCTTTTAGATATTGGGAGTAATACAATTAGCCTCAATTTCTAAACAATGACTTCCTTTGACTTTAGATTATGCTTAATTGGAAACCATAGCTATGTATTCATTTATTCAAAACCTCATATTTAAAAACTAATTTGTGTGAGACACTATGATAGTTACTAGACACACATAGTTGAATGAGAACATAATTCTTATCCTCATGGAGCTCACCATTTAAGAAGAAAAGACATAGGGAGGAAGAGCAGAGCAGAAAGATAAGAAAAATCATGAGCATGAACACCTTTATTTTTCACAGAAGAGAAAAATGAATCCTCTCAGTCCAGCGTTGAAACATATATTGGCCCTGGCTGGCATAGCTCAGTGGATTGAGCGCGGGCTGTGAACCAAAGTGTCGCAGGTTCGATTCCCAGTCAGGGTACATGCCTGGGTTGCAGGCCATGACCCCCAGCAACCACACATTGATGTTTCTCTCTCTCTCTCTCTCTCTCTCTCTCTCTATCTCCCTCCCTTCCCTCTCTAAAATAAATAAATAAAATTTTAAAAAAAGAAACATATAGTTAAATAATAATTAATCAATCTTTTACTATGCTTTATAATCTGTGTTCCTAATCCTAGAAAGATTATTGTTTTATGGTATAGTGATATGAACTTGGATTTGAAATTTGGTGTTTCTTCTGTTTTATTTCAGTTTCTTTCTGTAAAATTAAAATAAATCATAGTATTTAGTTTAAATGGAACTTTTAGTATATTTTTGTCTCTTTTTCTCTATTTGTTAGTTCATTTAAGTATACAAAATGCTTAGAGAAGAGTCTTAAATGGTGTGTGACATTGTTAATGGTAGGTTGTTTTTTTTTGAGACTCAGATTTGTAGCCTTTTTAAGAAAACATTATTTGTACTTTCCTAAAGTATTTCTTTCATAGATAATGTAAATTGTGGATAATTATAATTTTTTACCAAAGTAATGAAGTGGTTTTTCTATAAAAAAGATATAATGGCATTGCGATCAGAGTGGGGAGGAAATACAGAAGGGTCACCACTAATAATCTGGGAAAGGGAGAACTGGGGGAAGGGAGAGTTTTGGGTTGAAAGTTAGTGGTGGTCACATTTGAAGCATGAATTTTGTCTTAAAGAATTCAATAGAGACTCTCTAAATGTTACCTTATATTTGTTTCTCTAACAGTTTAGTCCCCAGCAACCAATTACATCCAGACATCCTAGCTTCATCACCTCTCCATCACTGAAGGACAGGATTCATTGTGTGGCTTATGTCTTGGATAGCAGCTCTATCAACATTCTGTCCTCTAAAATGGTGGAAAAGTTAAAGCGAGTTCAAAAAGAAGTATTAAACTGTGGTAAGTCTCATTTCACTTATAAAAATGTATTTTGAAATAATCACAGATTCATAGGAAGTTGCAAAGAGGTTATGGAGGGGATCCATGTATGCTTCATCCATTTGCTAAGCCCTGGGTGGTTGGTGGCAACAGCAGGCAGACAACACCCACAGCCTTGACTGAAGGAAAGGCCATAAACCTTACTCTTCAGTCCTTAAAGACTAAAATGGCCATGTGTTTTTGTCACGTGTGATTTTCTTGTGGCTTGATAGGGAAATCACCTCCCCACATTATGTGAGCAGACCAAGATGATCAAAACTTGGAAACTGACACTTAATTTGTGTGTATAGCTCTACATCATTTTATCACATGTATAGATTCATGTGACCACTACAATCTAGATATAGAACTACTCAATCACTACAAAAGTCTCCCTTATGGTACCTCCTGACCCCCCATCATCCTTAATTCTTGACAACCACAAATGTCTTCTTTCTTGTTATAATTTTGTCATTTTAAGAATGTTATATAAATGGAATTATACAGTATGTCACTATTTGACTGTTTTTTTTTTTTCACTCAGTCTCATATCCATGGAGGTCCATAGTAGTTGTTATGTGTATCTAGATTCATTCTTTTTTACTGTTTAGTAGTAGTCCATGGCATATATATAACACAGTTTGTTTAACATTTTGATTACTTTCAGTGTTTGGCTATTGCAAATAAAACTTCTATGAACATTAGTGTATGTGTTCTTCAAATTTGTTTTTTTTAATCAAGACGAGGAAGCTCTTTATTCCTAATTCTCTGAGTTTTTATTGTGATTAAAAGGTGTTGAATTTTTGTCAAATAGTTTTTCTTCATAGATTGACATAATCATGGGGTTTTTCTTTAGGCTTTTTTTTTTTTTTTAAACAATGCCATGCCTGTAATAGGAAACCAACCAGTTTAGATTTTATTTATTTTATTATTTTTTTTTTAGAGAGGGAAGGGAGGGAGATAGATAGATAGATAGATAGAGAGAGAGAGAGAGAGAGAGAGAGAGAGAGAGAAAGCATCAATGTGTGGTTGCTGGGGGTTATGGCCTGCAACCCAGGCATGTGCCCTGACTGGGAATCCAACCTGAAACACTTAGCCTGCGCTCAATCCACTGAGCTATGCCAGGCAGGATTCCTTAGGCATTTAATATAATGGATTACACTGATTTTCTCTGAAACTTGAGTTAACCTTGTCTCCTTAGAATGAAACCCATGTATTCTTGGCATATAATTCTTTTTATATAGTGATGAATCCCATTTGATAATAGTATATTAAACATTTTTGCATCTATATTCATGAGGGATATTGGCCTGTAGCTGTCTCTCTCTTTTTTCCCTTAGGTTTTGTATCAGCATAATACTGACCTTATAAAATGAATTGGGACGTTTACCTTTGTCTTCTATTTCTGGAAGAGATTTTGTAGAATTGGTGTTAATTTGTCTCTAAATATATTTATTAGAATTCTCCAATGAAACCACCTGGACCTGGGGATTTCTTTTTCAGGAGTTTTTAAAATAAAAATATCCATTTTAAAATTGTCATAGAGCTATTAAAATGATCTATTTCATGTTATATGAGTTGTGGTAGGTTTTAGTTTTTAACTTTAGTCTGTTCCATCTACACTGTCAAATTTATGTGTGTAAAATCATTCATAGCATTATTCTTTTTATGTCTGAAGGGTTTGTAGGTATATCCCTGTGTTCTTCCTGATAGTGGTGATTTGTGTCTTCTGTTTTGTTTTTGTTTGTCAGTATTTCCAGAGGTTTGCCAATTTTATTGATCTTTTCAGGAAATCATGTTTTTGCTTCTTTGATACTTTAAAGTGTTTTTCTGTTTTTAATTTATTTATTGATGTCTCTTTTTGTGATTTCTTTTTCTGCTATTTTAATTTTATTTATTTTTAAATTAGATTATATTTTATTATTTATGCAGTTTATGATTTCTTTCACCTCCTTGATTTGGGTGTAATTTGCTCTTCTTTTTTTCTAGTTTCTTGAGGTAGAAACTTAGTTTATTGTTTATGGGCTTTTCCTCCTTTCAGTTACAAGCATTGAGTGCTTACATATTTTCCTGTCAGCTGAAAGGAAAATATGTAAGCACTCAGTGCTTGTCCCACAAATGTTGGCATGTTATATCTTCATTATTATCCAATTTAATACATTTTTTATTTTCCTTGAGATTTCCTCTTGACTCATAAATTATTTAGCTTAATTTTCAAGTACTTGAAGTTTTTCCTGTTATCATTTTGTTACTGACTTCAAAATTTATTCTATTGTGGTCAAAGGACACACTCTGATTTAATAATGTTTTGAAGTTGGTTTGTGGCTCAGGATATAGCCTATATTGACAAATGTTCCGTAAGTGTTTGCAAATAATGTATATGATGTTGATTTTTGGCATGCTTGACAAATGTCAATTGAATTAGATTTTCTTGTTTTTTGGTGTGACGAGTAGTTCCTGATTATATTGTGGATATTTTGAGCACTATAATATGAGACTCTGGACCTTGTTTAAGTCTTGTGTTTCTGCATACCTCCTCTGACACTAAGCTGGTGGGAGCAAAAGTATAGTTTCCCTACCAGGATTTGTTTGACACATCTAAGAGGAAAGAACATTTTGTTTTTGTTTTTGATAATGTTTTCTACACTTATACCACAGGGAGCTAGGAGTCTCATTAAGCCTGGGTGAATGACTAGTGGTTAAAGTTTCAGTTTTTTACTTGGGCCCCTTTTACGCTGGTAGAAAGTGAGAGGAGCACTTTATACTGTAGTTTAGGTGGAAGTCCAGGATTCCCAAGGGGCCTCCACTGACATCATTGAGGGGGGTCTAGCACACTGCAGGTATAAAGGCCCTGGTTTCCTACTTGCTCTTTTGTGATACTACTAATACTCTGGGGTGGAGGTTGGAGAAAAGAAGAAATATGTTTATGGATGAAACTAATGTCATTTCTGTGGTGTTTGGCTGGGATAGAAGAGCTGTTGTCTAAAAGTTTTCTGTCTTGCTAGGTTGTGGCTTTTCTCATACTTTGGCTAGAAAGAACAGGCTCCCCTCCCCTCCCCTCCCTCCCCTCCCCTCCCCTCCCCTCCCCTCCCCTCCCCTTCCCTTTCCCTTCTTTTCCCTTATTTTACTTTTCTTTTGCCAAATCCAGTTGGCATTTCTTAGTTGCAAGGTCGGAATATAGTATTTGAGAGGAAAGAACATTTCCTCTCCAGCAGCTAATATGGGATACATGAAGCAGAAAGAAAACTTAAGGAACTCACTACTACATTGTTCCTTGGATCCCAAGGTCCCTAGTCAATCTGTCTTCTTCTCTTCACCTTTCAATCTTTGCATTTAATTTATATATAGTATTCCATGTTTTTAGCTGTACTTAGCAGGAAGAAGGGTGTATCTCTTCCAGTTGGTCCAGAACTGGATGGCAGTCCTCTCATTGGACTTCCAAACATTTTAGTGTGAAGACTTGTTTGGGCATTCATACTCCACAGCCTCATTGTTTAGTATATCAATAGAAAGACCACTTATATTTAGGCTCTGAGAAAAGTCTGTGCAATTTAAAGTGTACAACATGGTCTTAGTGGTTAAGTAAACCTACATTTTTTTAACATAAATTTTGATCCTTGGAAAGTTAACACAAGTGCAATAAACTTAATTTTTCTCTTGTAATAAGCATTAGATATGCTGAATATAAGTATATAAGCATTTAAAATATCTAAAATCATGGTACATTGGGGTAAGACTGAGTTACAGACGTGCTCAGATTTGAGGTGAGTTTTCTAAGGACATATGGCTGGATATCACATTGGGTGGCAATGCTTATAACTGTGCTGACTTAGAGGCTCTAAAAAGATACTGCATTAATTTGGAAAGGGAGGAATTGCACTGAAACAGAAGATGGAAAATAAATCATATGTGTCAGTTGAGTCCTGCCCTCTATTAGAGGCCAGGTTTTAATTGGCCAACTTTTTTAGTTATTCATCTGGGACATATATGAGAGGAAGACAGCAAAGGCCATCATTTAGTAATATAAATCACAAACAGAAGATTTCTGTCAGGGGGAAATCCAAAAAGCCCTGGTAAAGGAGCCTCAGAGGTATCCTGGAAATCTCAATTTTTCCCTTAAGAAGCAGTTGTTTTGTTACTAAGGCAGAACTTTGATTATGTTAGAAGTCCAATGAGATTTATTCACCTTATCTCTGTGGTGAGAGGGAGAAGGGAGGAGGTCCTTAGAAATGAGAAAACAGTACATTCTGTTTTTATAAATATACACACACAACCCTCCTCACTTTTTCTCTCTCTTGGGGTTTCTTTTAGTTCTCAAGACCCAGCAACCACTCTCCCTCCACCAACCAGTTTAAAATAGACTATTGCAATGGAATAGCTGCTGACTACAACATAGTGTGGACTTAGTTGCATTTAGAAATAATCTGTCATGTTGGAAGAAAAAGATTATTTCTCCTACTAGGAGAACTTCACGTCTCATATTGAGATGTGGGTGATATCTCATTCTGTAAATATTAAAATATCCTACAAAGAACAGATTTTGTGCCTATTTAATTAGCTTGTCGACACATTGCTCACTATGAGATAAAAATAACTGATTTATCTATTTGATATAGGTATACAACAGGTAGCCTTGCTTACTAATGTGACAAATTACCAAAAAGTTCTTCAAGATGACTTTTTAAACATGAAAAAATGTGTGACTTCTGAATACAAGGTAAAGAACACTGTGTGTAGCCAGCTGTCATTGAAGTAGTGTTGTATTCTGTGTTTGTGTGCACACTTGCACTCACACTACATATTCACAGGCAAATAAAGAAATGGATCAATTATCTGGTTAAATCAAGTTTATACCTCATTTTTAAACTGTAATTATCTGAATTATAATTAAATTATGTAGAGAATTTATCTAGCCATTGCTTTTTTAAATTTTTGAATTGTATTTAAATTCAGTCAAATTGCAGATATGGCTTATATTAATTAAATTTATTTTTTCCACAGATAATGCAAGTTCAAGAAATGCTACACATTCCTACTTCTAATATTTTGATGGTTGAAAATTATACTTCAGAATTAGAACTGAACCCTTTAAAGGACATCCTGATCCTCTCTGCTCTGAGGCAGATGTTACGAGCTGCAGATGACTACTTAGATGATTTGCCTTTTGAAGAAACAGGTAATCTGGCCCCTTTATGCTTTTCTCATTATGCACTGGTTCTTTTTGAAAAACCCTAAGCTATACCTCAGTTGGATGGCTAGCATCCATCTGCCTGCTCTAGTCCTAACAGCCATGTTAAGATATGTGCTTTATTTCTACTTTTTTTGTTTTGTTTTCAGATGAAGTTGTGGGAATGTCCCAGCTCCATATGTGTGATTAGTTGCCCTGATTCTGACACTTGGCCCAAACATGGATTGGCAAGCCTCAATCAGAGTTGCTCTCTGCTGCCAGCCTCTTTGAGACTGTGTTCATCATGCTTTGCCTTCTGTCCCTAACAGCATCTGATAGTTCATTCTAGAATCAGTCTAATCTCAAGGTTAAAAGCCAACCCTAAGCAGTGGTGGGCCAAAATATCCCTACTGTAAACCACCCTTCTTATTTCTGTACCATTTGCAATTTAATTTCTGTGACACATTCTTAAACCCTCCTAGTCAAATTAACTATTTCTTTACCTATTAATTTATAACACTTTAATTAACACTCTATGTGAGTAGTATTCATATTGAATAATAACTGTACAATGACTACACAGATATTTGCTTCCCTAAATAGGCCATGAATACTTTAAGAAGCCAGGTTTGGATTTTACTTATTTTTGTGTTCACAGAACTTTACACAGTATCTGGCAGGAAGCAAGCATACCAGTCATTATGCATCCCCTTTGACCTTCCCAGAATGGCAATGTGTACTTAAGTTTTTCTCCTTATAAAAAGGAAGACTAGGAAACAATGAAACGCTAGAAAGAGGAAATGGAAATAAAGGAGAGTGAATGTTTCACTTATAACTGAATGAAAATAGGAATTGAAGTTAATTAAAAAAGAGCAAACATTTCTTAAGGACTTAGATTCTTTTTCTGTGAAAAAAATAAATTTTCTTCCCCTAAGGAACTGATGCCTGATTTCCGGTAATTGAATTCCAAACTATCCTAACCATGTCTCCAAAGAAGAGTTATCAAAATAAGATTACTAGTGCATGTCAGTTAGAGGTTTGTCATATACAAGTGCTCCCAAATGATTCTAAAATCCTTCAGGAAGCTATAAAAGTTAGGGCTATAAATAAAGAATACATGAATTCATGAAGATATATTTCAGTTTTTTCCCCTAAAGCAAACTTCACTCTTTTTTCTAAATTTCTTAGACTTTTTCAAATGAATATGTTTTGCTTCAATAGTTATTTATAGTAAAGCAGTCTAATTTATGTTTAATCAGAATTATTGTCTTCTTTGGGAAGTCCTGGGTAGTATGAGGGGAAGAATTCCTTAGAGATAGTTACTAAAAATATTTCCTAAAGCAGTGCTTCATGTGAAATTGTGCTCAAATGAATGTTCAAGAGCCATGATGCAGTGGAAGAGATAAATGGAGTCTTTAGATCTTGGAATAGAATCATCATAGATATTGAGGAGTAGAGCCAGAGCAGATATTGGGAACAGAAGTAAAGTGGCAGCCAGGATGGTTATGATGTGGATCTAGGGAGTAATAGATCCAAAAAGTAAGGTGTGTTCATTTTCACATAATCCAGAGAGGGGGATGCTATAACTATATTTCTTTGAGAGAGATTGAAGGTGATTTAAGAGCCACCATTGTGCTCACCCACTATGGGGCCATAATTAATCCATTTCCAGAGTGGTGCCAGCAAAAAATATAGGCAGAAACAGGTTTTGCTAGAGGCAACATTTGATTCAAGGTGTAAGTTTTTTTACTTATTTGAAGGGGAAGCAGGGAGTACCCTTACAAAGGAGATGACAATTCTGAAAGGAAGAGCAGTAATGGAGAGATGAAGAGATTAAAAAATAAGGGATTACCCAGGTAAACTAACATTGTTTGAAAGTATAAATATTGAGGCTACCAAAAGTTTCCATTTTTGTAGTAAAAAAGGTAGTGTTAGATAAATGATGTCACAACTTCTGATCCTCTGGCTCTGTACTACTTTGGGAACATTTAAAAATCCAATGGAGTTACGTGTATATTTGGAATTTAGGTTGGAAAAGATGACTGGAGGGGGGTCTCAAAAAGAAAGAAAATGAATAAGTGGAACTATATCATACTACGAAGCTTCTGTGCAACAAAGGAAACCATCAGCAAAATGAAAAGGCACTCTACTGAATGGGAGAAAATACTTGCAAATCATATATATTATGAGGGGCTAGTATACAAAGCATATAAAACTCATGCAACTCAGTAGCAGAAAAACAAACCATCTGATTAAAAATTGAGCAAGATAGTTCATTATAGGTGTATAAAAATACCACCAATTTCTGAATATTAATCTTGGTTCCTGTTACTTGACTGAATTCATGTATCAGTTCTAATAGTTTTTTGGTGGAGTCTTTACAGTTTTCTATATACAGTATCATGTCACCTGCAAATAAAGACAGTTTTACTTCTTCCTTTTCAATTTGGATGCCTTTTATTTCTTCTTCTTGTCTGATTACTATGGCTAGAACTTCCAGTACTGTGTTGAATACGAGTGATGAAAGTGGGTATCCCTGCCTTTTTCCTGACCTTGTGAGAAACACTATACCATATGACTTCACTTATATATGGAATCTAATGAACAAAATAAATAAACAAACAAAATAGAAACAGAATCATAGATACAGAGAAAAGACTGACAGTTGTGGGGGGTTTGGTTGTGGGCTAGGTCAAATAGGTGAAGGGATTAAGCAAAAAAAGTACAGACATCAAAATGGTGATTATGAGAGGGAAGAGGATCAGGGGAAGGTAGAAGAAGGAATAGGAGTGATAAATAGTGATGGAAGGAGACTTGACTTTGGGTGGTGAACACACAGTAAAATACACAGATGATATATTATAGAACTGTATAGCTATAACCTACAAAATTTTATTAACCAATGTTGCACCAATAATTTCAATAAGAATATATATTAAAAATGAGCAGGAGATCTGAATAGACATTTTCCTAAGAAAGACATACAAATGGCCAAAAAATATATGAAAAGATGTTTTACATCATTAATCATGAGGGAAATGAAAATAAAAATCATGATGAGATAGCGTCTCACACCTATTAGAATGGCTATCATTAAAAGAAAAGTAAGTGTTGGCATGAATGCAGAGAACTGGGAAATCTTGTCCACTGCTGGTGAGAATGTAAATTGGTTCAGCCACAATGGGAAACAGCATGAAGTTTCCTCAAAAATTAAAAACAGGGCTACTATATGATCCAGCAATTCTATTTTGGCATATTAATTTGAAGAAAATCAAAACACTAACTCAAAAATATGTATTTTCACTTCACAATAATGTTCATTGCAATATTATTTACAATAGCTATTACATGGAAATGATCTAAGCATCTTTGAAATGGATAAAGAAGATGTGATACAGACACAGAAATGGAATGTTATTCAAGCATAAAAAAAAGATATTTTTTCATGGTGACAACATGAGTGGATTGTGATGATATCATGCTAAGTAAAATAAGTCAGAGAAACTATTGTATGATCTCATGCATATGTGGAATCTAAAAAAAGCTGAACTCATAGAAACAGAGCAGAATGGTGTTGCCAGGGGCTGAGGGTTGGGGGAAATGGAAATATGTTGGTTAAAGCATACAGATTTTAAGATGAATATGCTCTGGGATATAATGTTACAGCATGGTGACCACTTAACAATATTGTATTATATTGAAAGTTGCTAAGAAAGTATATCTTAAATGTTCTCACCATATATACAGAAAAGGTCATTATTTGAAGTGATGGGTGTACTAACTTACCTTATTGTGGTAATCATTTCACAATGCATATCATCACACTGAACATTTTAAATTACATCAAGTTATATATCAATTATATGTTAATAAAGCAGGAAGAAATAAAAAATAAAACAGAAATGGCTAAGAGAAGTTGTAGCATTGTACAAATTCACCCAGAATTCACTTCAATTAAATGCCAAGATGAGCAGTTATGATGAGTGATGTGTAAGCCTGTCTTCTTTTAAAAACTAAATAAATATTAGGTTCTCTCTTCATAAAACAGAAAGTCCATAACTGAAATGACAAAATTGATTGGAGGACTCAAATAAGTCTCAGGTGCTTTAGAGACTAGTTGAGTAATCATCTTGTAAACTCAGTCTGATGGTAAAGTAGCCGCTTGATGGCAAGGCTGATTGTAGTCTTCATGGTTACCTAAAAGCTATAGGAATTCTCATCCTATAAGTGATGAGTCTCTGGGCTAGTTAATGGAGGATAATAGATTGTTATTCTGTTTTTTTTCTATCATTTTAAGCAAGATTTCATACCTGTTGTTAACCCCTGCAAAATCTTTCTTTGGTATTGAAGAAAATTCAGGCCACCAGGATAGCCTGACCATGGAGTTAAGATTACAGCCAATATACAGCTGCATGCCCCAATGTCTTTCCCCAACACAGCTCACAAAAGCAGTTACAAGACGTACCAGGCTTCAGGTCAGAAATGACAGTGGAAGCAAAATGTCAACCAAAGGTTGCAGGAATGGCGATTGGGCAGGGTAAGAAGGCTAATAGGCTAGGCTGAACAATGGTGTGTAAATAATTACATTTAATTACAAATTAATTATTTGTTTATTTATGTTTTTAAAGATTTTATTTATCTATTTTTAGAGAGTGGGGAAGGGAAGGAGAAAGAGAGAGAGAGAGAAACATCAATGTGTGGTTGCCTCTCATGTGGGCCCCACTAGGGACCTAGCCTGCAACCCAGGCACATGCCCTGACTGGGAATTGAACCAGTGACCCTTTTTTTGTAGCGTCACAGACCGTGCTCAATCCACTGAGCTACACCAGCCAGGGCTTTTTTAGCTTTTTAAACAATTGGTTTCTACTGCATATTTAATAGTGCCTGTCTACTATTAATAAAAATTTAGGAAAACATATATTTAACATACATTTAAGCCTTTGAACTCAATTGTCTTTCATTTGGTGTGTTGTGGAAGTAATTCAAATGTGAATGAGTTACTACAATTTAAATAAGCATACCAATATAAATGCATATGTGCTATTCTGAGAGTATAAGACCCTGTTCTGTTTGGTAGATAATCAGTAGTAGTTCTGTCCTCAGTGTTAGATTTATAGAGAGGGGATTCTCACATCCCCATAACTGAGGAGTACAGAGAGAAAATAAAAGTAATTCATTGGTGTGATATGATTTCATACATTTCAAATGAACACTTAGTGTAGCTAATTTATAAAAATAACAACTTTTATATTTTTCTGTACTTCTTTGTATATAGTTCTTTCCTCATTTCCCAGTTGCTCACATTATATATCCTCTTAAGAATCAGATTGTTTAAACCAGAGGAAAAAAAATCTTAAGACAACGTTCAGATGTTCTAACTTTGATAGTGGACCCTTGGGAGTCTAGGCTGTGAAAGAATCTGAACAGATAACTTATAGAATTATTATGGATCAAAAAGTTAATAGAGGAAAAACTATCTACAATTCCTATATCTATAAAAACTGTGAGACAGTAATCCATCCTGGGAAGGAAGAGGGAAGAGAAGTTGGGCATCAATGGTAGAAGTATGAGAGAGGAACAGATCTGGGGGGACCAAGAGGACAGGTGTGGTCGGCATAAAGGAAATTTGGGGTACTACGTGAGGGGGTCAGAGCTAGGATACTATCTGGAAGTCAACATGTCCAGAGTCTTCATTCTAATTTAATTTAATTTAATTCTGCCTAAACGCCCTAATCCTACATCTACAAGAACTAGAGGAACAAAAATAAACAAAGCTCAGAATGAGTACAAGGAAGGAAATAATAAAAATTAGAGCAGAATTAAATGACATAGAGACTAAAAGAATAATTCAAAGGATCAATAAATCCAGGAGCTGGTTCCTCAAAAAGATAACCAAAATTGAGAAGCCTTTAATCAGACTCATCAAGAAAAAAAGAACCCAAATCAATAAAATGAGAAAGGAGAAATGAAATGAAAGAGGAGAAATTACAACTGATACCACAGAAATACAAAGGATTGTAAGAAATTACTATGAACAACTATATACCAAGAAATTTGAAAACCTGGGTGAAATGGACAAATTTCTAGAAACATATAAATTTCCAAACTGAGTGAAGAAGAAGCAGAAAGCCTGAACAGACTGATAACAGCTATTGAAATTGAAGCAGTAATCAAAAAACTCCTGGCACACAAGCCCTGGACAGGACATTTTCACAGGAGAATTTTATCAAACATTTAGGGAAGGGCTAACCCCAGTCCTTCTCAAACTATTCCAAAAAATCCAAGAAGAAGGAAGACTCCCAAACTCTTTTTATGAGGCCAGCATTATCCTAATTCCAAAGCCAGATAAAGACATAAAAAAGAGAGAAAACTGCAGGCCAATACTGCTGATGAACATAGATGCTAAAATCCTCAACAAAATATTGGCAAACTGCACCCAGCAATATATTAAAAAGATCATACAACATGAACAAGTGGGTTCATCCCAGTGATGCAAGGCTGGTACAATCTATGCAAATCAGTAAATGTAATGCATCACAGAAGTAAAATGAAAGGCAAAACCTACATGATCATATCAATAGATGCTGAAAAAGTATTTGATAAATTATGTCACCCATTTATGATAAAAACACTCAGCAAGTGGGAGCAGAGAGAACATATGTCAACATAATAATGGCCATATATGAGAAATCTATAGCCAGCATCATACTCAATGGGCAAAAACTAAAAGCTTTCCCCCTAAGATCAGGAATAAGACAAGGGTGTCCGCTTTCAGTACTATTCAACAGAGTATTGGAAAGTTCTAGCCACAGTGATCAAAAAATAAAAAGAAATAAATTGGAAATTGGCGTTCAAATTGGAAAGGAAGAAATAAAACTGTTACTTTGTGCAGAAGACATGATAGTGTACATAGAAAACCCTATAGATCCATCAAAAAAAACACTCAACCTAATAAATGAACTTGGCAAACTGGCAGGATACAAAGTCAACATTCAGAAATGGAAGGTATTTTTGTATACCAACAATGAAATATCAGAAAGACAAATTAGAAAAAGTCCCATTTACTATAGCAACAAGAAAAATAAAATACTTAGGAATAAACTTAACTAAGGAGGTAAAAGACCTATGCTCAGAAAATGATAGAACACTGAAGAAAGAAATTTAGGAAGACACAAATAAATGGAAGCCTATACCATGTTTCATGGATTGGAAGAATTACCATCATTAAAATGTCCATACTATGCAAAGCAATCTATAGATTCAATGCAATCCACATCAAAATACCAATGATATATTTCACAGATTTAGAACAATATTTCAAAAATTTACATGGAAATATAACAACCCCAAAAAGCTTCAGCAAATTTTTGAGAAAAAGGAACAAAGTAGGAGGGATCATAATACCTGATACCCAACTATATTACATGGTCACTGTAATTAAAGCA